CATAAAGTCTGGTGTGGTTGGAGCACAGGAGTGAGGGAGGGGGAAGAAGAGGCTAGTGTACTAGAGTTTAAATTTGCCTTTCTTGTGCTTTGTTAATGCAGATCAGAGCGAAAAGTACAACTGAGCAGATGAATCTTCTTAACTCCCCCCCAAGAATTACAGGAAAAAAAGAAGCAGTCAAATTATATTTCACATTTTTTATTTCTGAAATTAAAGTTATTATCTAATGAAATTATGAGAGTTAATGAAAGGCTGAATTGCGCCCACTTAAACGGGAAGACCCCCCAAAATTCTTTTAGAGATCCCATCTTACTTTCATTCCAGACTATCTCCTTCCACAGTACACTGACCTTCACTGTCCCGTCGTCGCTGCCTGTACAGACCAGCTGGGGTCCTCGCCTCGCTGGGTAACAGGAATTCACGAAGGAGGTATGGCCCTTCAGTCTCTTCACTCTCTCTCCAGTCTCACTATCCCACACAGCCACGGTTTTGTCTGTGGATGCTGAGAAGAGCATGCTGCAGAGAAGAATCGCCATGAGGTTCTCAATTTCAGAGACATTTCTCCCCTCTCACGTTCTTTACTCGCCAGTTCTGTGACCAAAGCTGGAAATAAACAGTGGGAATGCACCACGGAGAAGAATCTCCCCCACATGCCAAGACAAAGGTGGCATTTCAGGTGAACTGACAGTGGGGCAACCACACTGGAGGTACTTCCATTCACTCTCATTTCTAGATACATATAAATTGCTTTTCCACCTCTTCGAACACTACCTAGGACGAACACAGGGCTTGGTGGCAACAGCTCAGATGTAACAGCGGAACAGCTTTTTAAATTAACAAATACCTCACTTGTTTTCTTCCCCTCCCCAGCCTCTCCCAGATGACCGATGCTAACATTCCTCTGTTCCTCAAGATTGAAATCAAGGGCACTGGTGGCTCATGGGTGACTCCAGATCATTCCCAAGCAGGTACCACACTCTACGCGGGAAAGCCACACTACGAGCATTCGCCATGTGTGGACTGAGCGGGGGCAGTGACGAGGTGCTCTGGGCCAGCAGAAAACGTCATCCTTCAGAAAGAGCCAGGCCCAAGGCCAGAAGCTGCCCCTGCACCACTTACCTGCCGTCTGTGTTATAGTGCAGCTCCATAACCGCCCCGCTGTGTCCCTTCAGGGTGGCGTAGTTATCGCAGTCCCCGTAGACGTTCCACAGCACTGGGGGAAAGGGAGAGGTCAGTACAGGAAACATGGCAGCACGACCCTGCTGCGAATGGAGCGACACTGGGAATTCAGCAAACCAACTCTGAACCATCGCCATTACTGTCTCCCATCCGGGATGACATGTGCAGTAAAGAAACATCGTGTGAACCTCAGAAGGACAGACAGCTGGCTGGAACTGACTTGGGCTTTTTGATCAAGCTGAATGTTTAAAGAAAAATAATAAACTTTACCTGAACTAGATAAAGCACTGAAAGGTGCTTCTGCAGACTGCTACAAACACAGACTGACAACCTGCATGAGGGACCTGGGAACACAGGGCCGTGACAAACAAGGCCTGTCACCAGCCCCACCTGAGGCCGAGCAGGACAGTGACCTGCCAGAGCAGCTAGAAGAGGTTTCTTGCTCCCCTCCCTGTGAAGCACCTCGCTCAGGACTCAGCAAGCTTGACGGCTGAGACAAGACCCTGCGGCAGCACAGAAAACCCAGCCCTGCCCGGTACTCACGGATGAGCCTGTCGAAGCCGGCAGAGGCGAGGGTGTTGCCGTTGGGGTGGAACTTGCAGCAGTACACCTCTCCCTCGTGCCCCGAGAGCAGCATGATGGGGGCCTGCAGCGAGGAGCAGCGCGGCGGGCCCTGGGGGAGGCAACAGGGGGGCCGGGTGAGGGGACGCCATCAAGG